TAGAGTGCTGTGGCATCACAGCTGACAGCAACTTCCAGCTTTTGGGCTTAGGCAATTCTCTTGCCTCAGCCTCCCAAGTAGCTGGGACTACAGGTGGCCACCACAATGCCTGGCTATTTTTTTGTTGCAGTTCGGAAGGGGCCAGGTTCGAGCCTCCTACCCTTGGTAGGCCGGCACCCTACTCACTGAGCCACAGGCATCTCCTGTAAGCATTTTTTATACTGCATTGATGTCCCTTATCAGATATATAGATCTGCAAATATTTTCTTCCATTTCATGAGTTATCTTTTCATTTTATTTATACTTTATTTTTAAGACAAGTTTCACTATTCGCCCTCCGTAGAATGCTATAGCATCACAGCTCACAGCAACCTCAAACTCTTGGGCTTAAGTGATTCTCTTGCCTCAGCCTCTCAAGTAGCTGGGACTACAGGCGCCCACCACAACTCCTGGCTGTTTTTTTGTTGCAGTTGTCATTGTTATTTAGCTGGCCTGGGCCGGGTTCGATCCCACCAGCCTTGGTGCAGGTGGCTGGAGCCAAAACCACTATGCTGTGGACACCAGGCCTATTTATATCTTTTGAATTAGAAAAGATTTTAATTTTTTTGTTGTTGGTGGTAGTGCTTTCGGCGTCATATCTAGGAATACTTTGTCTAATCCAAGGTCATAAAGAGTTACTCTTGTGTTTTTTTCTAAGCTTTTTTTTTTGTAGAGGCAGAGTCTGTCTTTATCGCCCTTGGTAGAATACTGTGGTTTCACCCAGCTCACAGCAAGCTCCAACTCCTGGCCTTAGGTGATTCTCTTGCCTCAGCCTCCCAATTAGCTGGGACTTACAGGCACCTGCCACAATACCCAGCTTTTTTTTTTTTTTTGGTGTTGCAGTTTGGCTGGGGCCAGGTTTGAACCCACCACCCTTGGTATATGGGGCTAGCGCCCTACCCATTGAGCTACAGGCTCTACCCCTTCTTCTAAGCTTTTTATAGTCTAGCCCTTATATTTAAGTGTTTGATCCATTTGGAGTTAATATTTATATTTGACATGAAGTAAGGATACAGTTTCATTATTTTGCCTGTGTATTTAGTTGTCCTGGTACCTACCATTTGCTGAAAAGACTTTTCCTCATTGAATGGTGTAAGTACCCTTGACAAAAATAATTTGATGACAATATGTATTTATTTCTGAACTCTCAATTCTATTCCGTTAGTTATTCTTATGACAGTACCATACTGTCTGATTACTGTTGCCTTGTTGTGTCTTGAACCCAGGAGTATGAATCCTTCTGCTTTTTCAGAATTCTTTGCGTTATTCTGATTCCTTGTAGTTTCACATAAGTTTTAGAATTATGAATTTCTGCAAAGAAATCAGCTGGGATTCTGATAGGGTTTTCCATTGAATCTAGAGATCAGTCAGCGGAGTACAGTTGTCTTTTTTCATCCAAAGGAGATTGGCTCTAAAGACAATCCCCACCCCAACACCAAGATTGGAGGGATGCTCAAGTCCCTTGTATAAAATGGTGTATTTACATATGAATGCTACAGATGGCCTCTTGTTCCCTTCCCGCCCTCCCTTGGGCAGGGTTTCACTCTGTCACTCAGCCAACAGTGCACTGTTGGGCTCAAGTGATCCTCCCACCTCAGCCTACCGAAGTTTTAAGATTATAGGTGTGAGCCATGCTGTCTTGCCTTACATTTGTTGTTAAATCCAGTATCTTGTCATTTCCACAGGTAGTTTTGCTTGTTTTCTTCTTCTTTTTCTTTTGTGCCATTCATACTTTTCTATTTCTTTGAATGTTTCCTGATATTTTGTTGGGTGCTGGACATTTTAGATGATATATTGTAGCAACTCTGGTTACTGATTCTTTTCCCTTTCCCTGGATATTGTTATTATTTGCCTTTTTTTTTTTTATAAGTGACTGACAGGACCCTGAGCCACTAGTGTTAAGTCTCTGATTTGTTCCTCAGAGAGGCATGCCTTTGGGTATGCCTATAGTAACCCTGGGATGTTGGTAGAGTTTTCGTCCTCTTTCCGTGATCCTACCCAGCTCTTAAATTCTGTTCTCCAGTTGTTTCATTGTTTTCAACAGTGTTTGGGGCATAATTTTTTTCTCTAAACTAATGCAGTCAAATTATGGTACTTTTAAAATAGGCATTTCTAAGATCTTTGTTAGCTATTTTTTATGGTCCCCAAAGGGCTCCTCCCAGCTGTTTTGCACTCTGATTCTCACCTTCAAACTAGTTAGCTGACATTCTAGGCTGTATCTTCATTATATCCAGGTATCTCTTTCTAGTTGCCTATGACCACAACCATCACTGTTCCAGGAAACACCCTTAGACTGAAAACTTGCCATGCTTTATTCCAAGTGAAGTCAGGTCCTTCTAGATACTTGGTGGTCCTCCTTCAGGCAGAATATCTGAGCCAAAGTTCTGGTAAGGATGGGGCAATGGCAAGTTTTTCTGTGAGTGATACTGAGTGCCAGGATAGGTGAGAGAAGATGAGCCACCTGAGGTCTTTTTGGCTTATCTCTTCTGTTGTGGAACCACTGTTCCATGAGCCCTGCAAAAGGGCTGTTGGGTCCCCAGTATTCTCAGTGTTACATGCCTCTGGTAGAGGCTCTGTTTCACAAATCAGGGTAGAGAGAAGGGAGCCCCCTGCCTTTGATGGTTCTGGGATCAGCATCAGCGTCAGCAGCAGGTGTCTGGGGCAGGGTGAGAAACTCTGAAGTCATGCTCCTCCCAATAAGAAAGCCCTTAGGGCCAGCTGTGGTGGCTCACGCCTGCAATCCCAGCACTTGGGAGGCTGAGGTGGGGTGGATTGCCTGAGTTTATAGGTTCAACACCAGCAAGAACCAGAGTGAGACCTCATCTCTAAAAATAGCTGGGTGACATGGCAGGCACCTGTAGTCCTAGCTACTTGGGAGGCAGAGGCAAGAGAATCGCTTGACCCCAAAAGTTTAAAGTTGCTGTGAGCTATGACAGCACAGTACTCCACCAAGGGGGACAAAGTGAGACTCTGTCTCAAAAAAAAAAAAAAAAAAAAAAAAAGCCTTTAGGTTTGGATCTTGGGTGAGAAGGGTTCTGTGTTGTTTTGTAGCTTCTGGAACCAGCTGGGATGTGGGGTTATCTTGCTTCAGATACCACAGATTTTCATCTTTCTCACTGAATTTTCATAGATTTTGTTGAATGGATGTTCATTTGCTGTTTGCCTTTAGGACCATTTCCAGAGACTTTGAATGCTTATGTTTGAGCTCCACATGGAATCATGCCGGAAGTTGATCTCTTGTAACTTTATCTTTTGAGTTAGCATTCATGCCTTCATAAGACATGACATAGGAAAGCATTTCTTTCACTATGAGCCCTGACCACCTCTTATAAGGATTTCCTAATATATTCTTTAACATCTCAATTTTTAGATATTGCTTTTATGATACAGCATACCAGGAGAATTGATTTCTCATACTTATTTTCCTTAAGTAATGAATTTTACCACATGAATTCTAGAAGGGAAAATCTGCATATGGTAAGTTCAGAGTTTATAAGGGAAACGAAAATAATAATAACTAGAGAATTTTAACAAGGAAACACAGTGCTGTGGTTTAGTTCTTTTTGTTTTTCTTTTTTTGCCCCAGGCTAGAGTGTGCTGGCCTCAGCTCATAGCAACCTCAAATTCCTGGGTTCAAGAAATTCTCCTGCCTCAACCTCCTAAGAGCTGAGACTACAGGTGCCTGCCACAATGCTTGGCTAATGTTGTCTATTTTTAGTAGAGACGGAGTCTCACTCTTGTTCAGGCTGGTCTTGAACTCCTGAGCTCAAGGGATCTTCCTGCCTCAGTCTCCTAGAGTGTTAGGATTACAGGTGTGCTGTGCCAGTGTGCCTGGCCTGGTTTAGCTTTTTTCAAGCTAGCTGTTGCAGTTAACTCTTGATTTCTCTGACTTGTCTTAGATATCGAAATCGATGGCTGCCTCTTTAGTTTTGTTGTCATCTTAAATTAAAATTTCTTTTGATTTACTATGATTTTTTTTTTAGGGGCCACTCAATAGTGAGTCTTCCAATCAGAGCTTGTGCAGTGTGGGGTCCTTGAGTGATAAAGAAGTAGAGGTAAGAAGCTATTTCTATTGTAGGACTTTTCATTTTCATATACCTTCAGTGTGGGTTAAAAGATAGCACCACATAATAACTCCGGGGGCACTGTTGTAGTCTGTGTGACTGGTTTCCTTTTGAGCTGTGTGCTATTTGCATCTGTACAATGATGATACAGCCATTCTGGTTTTTTTTTTTTTATTATAATCATGAATGAATCTTGTCTTTTTAAACAAAATTTTTTTTATGTAGTTGCCATCAATAAAGGGTAGAGATTGCAGTTGTAGCTGAATTAGCCTATGTGCCCTTGAATTAATGCTTATCAGTACTTTAACAACATAAGTCATTGGCTAACTTTAGTAATATAATTTGAAGGAGATTTATTTGTTGTAATTTTCCAGCTTAAATGGAACATCAGATTTTTTAAATTAGACGTATAACCTAGCTGCACAGATATGGGTCTGAGTCTAAGTCTGCAACCATAGACTTTGCACTTAGATAAAACTTTCAATAAATTATAGAGTTATTTGCTTTATTATGTAGATCTTTCTTTTTTGAAAAAAAAA